ATATAATATAATATAATGTAATATAATATAATATAATATAATATAATATAATATAATATAATACGTTTTCATTTGTATTTTACTCAGTTTAAGATTCAGGACTAGTGTGACTCAAAGCCAGTAATAGACAATCATACTCTGTTCGGTATAAAAAAAAGAGGAAACTTACATCTTGGTTGCTCATGTCCCAGTAGGGCCTCTCGCCAAAAGACATCACCTCCCACATGACGATACCGTAACTCCAGACGTCACTAGCAGAAGTGAACTTCCTGTATGCGATGGCTTCCGGCGAGGTCCATCTCACAGGGATCTTTCCACCCTGAGGAAACAAACAAAAAATGACAGGTCAGATTGGTGCGATAGGAGTGATAGGATGCTGTCACATGGATTAATTTTGGTCATTACAATCCATGTGTCTCATTTATGTACCCAAATCAAAATGTATCACTTTCACATGGACAACTGGGAAGTATGCTGATTGAACAAAACAAATAAACAACAGGAACATATCGACTAACTGAGCACTACATCCATCGCGACTCTAAATATTTGCAAACAATGGGCTGCATTTGCATTTTTTTTTTAATTCAGCACGAATGAATTCAATTATTTTTCCTTTACAAAACACCATAAAAACCTCTTTCCCTTCTTTCAGTACACACACGCAATAGTGTAAGTGTGTGTGTTTGTGAGGAGGGCCCAGTCTCATCCGTGGAGCGTGTCTGTCTGTAATTGGACTACCTGAGGCTGGTTTTGTGCCTCACTGATTAAAATTGACAGCAGTTTGTTTTAAGATTCACCTCACATACACACCCACACAAACAATGACAAAACACACACAGAACTGGTCTGAGATCCACATGCTGTATGTTCCAGTCTAATGATGTCAATTAGTTCAGTCCTGCCTCTGACGTCAACCAGACGAAAACTACAATGCAGAAAAGCTGAGCAGCATATTGTCATTCTGGAAGTGTGCTTTATTATCGCAATAATAAACTACTAATATTTGTACATTTTCTGAAGAAAATGTGCAAAACTGACTGACAAGATGTTAGGGTCGTTGCTAGGGTATTGGTTTTTACCAAATTACAATGTGGTTGCTTATTGTACGCATTCCGGTTTTTAGAAACGACTTGGTTCCCTTCTTTAATGTAAGTTTAGGGAACATTCCAGCACCCACCAGATTTACACTTTCTAAATGAAAGTTTAATGAAGTTTCTGAATAAAAAAATAAACAGGAAATATTTCAGTGAGTTGCAGAAGAGGCAAATAACGAATAAAATACTGAACCGACAGCTAAAGTGCACAATATATCATGGGAAACTAATTCATCCTCAAATGACTGTGAATGATGTCACTGCTTGTGGGCGGGGCTTTCTCATTTTAAACGCAGCACTGCAGCCGTTATGGAGAGAAAACGAAAACGAAAGGACAACAACCTAAAACAAGATTACATAATCTCAGACCTCTTTCTCTGTCCATTTTTTTTATTTTATTAAGTTTATTGTGGAAACAGTGATGAAACAGTGGTCAGGGAAGGACAGATGCCTGCTGGGAGTTTGCGTCACTCTTACATTCCACCTCTTTAACCCCTCAGTTCTCTCTTTAGTCCCCTCCATCCCTCCTTCTTTTTTCCTTAACACTATATTTTTGCAACCCATTGAACTCAATATTCACTTTCAATATTCCTGTAATAAGTCTGCAGCACCTCAGTCAGAGATTTATAAAGACCAAGAATCTTAAAGGGGTCACACCATCACATCATGATGTGAGAGTCAGATTTTCTTTGCTCCTTTGATATCAGAGTCTGACATAGTGTAAACACAACACAATAAATAAAAAGCAAAAATTCCAGCCCACCCAAGACCATATACTGAAACTAAGCTGCAAAAATGGGTCATTCAGAAATCGTCAAGGTTATGACACGCATGCTTTGTGTTTAGGACCTCAGAAATCTGTCAGGCACAAAGCCGGGCATTTTTCAACAGCAAGCACTATGACAACCAATAGCACAATAACATATGACCACCCATGTTTAGATGTCATAGGTGGATTCAACAATTGTGCCCACCCTAACGAACAACATTATGAAGAACTTCGGGGAAAATAAAATGCTTCACAATATAAACAAAGAAATTCTTCTTTTATCAAATGAAAAATATATATATAACAAATGAGGGATTTGATGACCCTTTCTGCTTGGATGATCCTTTCTGACCTTTGAGTTCAGCGACCGGAAAAACTCCATTTCATCTTCATCGATTCTAATATAAGATGGAATGAACCTACATGTGACAGAGACCAGAGTCATACAGGTCACCTCCACTGACTTCTATCTGTGACAAGAGGCCTGTCACCACATAAACACTGAGTTCAAGTTAATGACAATTACTTTTACATTGAACCCATGTAGTGTGAACATAACAGAACTGAACTAGTAATGGTTAATGCAAAAATGGCAATGTCTTACACCTATGATAGCTTGTTTGAAGTGTGGTTCTAAAAAAATAATAAAATAAAATAAAATAAAATATCCAATAAAATCGAAACAGCTGATTCACTGAAACATAAAACGTCTGGGCAAATACAATAAAGTGGTTTATCATTCATTCAGCATTTATAGTTATAGATCCATATGTCTCTCTGATGCACCACTGTCTCTCACTGAACAATGAAGATATGTCTCTCAGAGCAGCACATGCTCACAGCAAACAACACTTGAACAACTGCAGAAGAAAGACACACTACTAGTGTTTAATGTTCCAAACACAAACAATCTGCATCGGAAATGTGCCTGCATGAGGCAAGACGACAGTGGCATATATTTAGATCTGAAAACCTGTGCATATTAGAAAGACAGAAAGAGACAGGAGACTCTCTGTCTGTCTGTCTGTCTGTCTATCACTACTTTGCATTACTTACAAGTGAAGAAACGTACAAACTGATGAAAAAAACATGTAATTTAATGTAATGTAAAAATATAGAGATGTAACATGATATAAGATTTCTCATAGTTTGATATAAGGTTTTGGTCACCCCATGTCACACTGATGTCAACAAACCAATAATGCTACAAAGTGAATACTAGATCACCTTGTCTAACTGCTTTTAAATTATAACCCGTGGCCATTCGGTTTCTCTGTGGGCCACACAGATCTAATTTGCTTATATCTCCTTCACTTACATTAATTTCAAATTCCAGTCCAATTTGTGCTGTATTAACATCAGCAGGCAAATCAGACGTCAGGGGAGGTGGTTCAGATAGCAGCAGGCTAACCGTGCGTCACTAACCTTTCGCGCCCTCTTCCCGGTCCTATACCGCTCCGCCACCACCCAGACGCTCGACGGGGACCGCGCAAATTAAACCACGCTCACCTAATCCTTTATCATCCTTTCCTCCCAATTTCCCATCCAGGATTTTTAATACTAGATTATGACCTTGTCTTTCATAACCAGGTTAAGTATTCTTTTCTTTCCTCGACTTGTACGCCTTTTCTTTTCCTTTGAGAGTTCTTTGTGCTTAAATGAAAGAGCGCTCGCATGCCACTGTGTGAGGTTTTCAAGTCTGTCACATGGTGCTGCAGGTCAACGGTCAGATGGCATGTTTAAATAATGACAGCTGAGGACAGTGGTGTGGTGAAGTGTTGCTCACACTGCTCCTCTGTTTGATACCCGCAGTAACTTGCTAACCAATCTGCTCACATTTTACAAGAGAGGCAAGAGTCAAGGTTGTATAAACCCATGAAACTGAGATTGAATTGACAGTTTAAATTCACTAAAATAAACCATGATAAATGTTGCAGTCCAAATTACATACTATAAAAGTCAGACAACACTATTATTATTGCTCATACTCATTATAAAACATATAAACGTACTTTTAAGGTTAACATGTATAACCTGACATCACCACTTGTACTATGGACATAACAACCCCCCCCCCCCCCCCCACAAAAAA